GTAGAAAGGGAAAACCCAAAGTCAGTTCCAGATAAACTCCGGATAATAATTAGGACAAACAGTAGACTGAGTTAGCAGGTTTATTGTGTGTGAAGTGTGTTCTCATATAGTATGTAGCGATTTACTTAGGTCATTTGTTTCAGCAATGGGATGCCGTGGCGTGGTCTTAACAGTTGGGAATTTGATAGTCATGATATTCTTAATTATAAATACTACGTTAGAGATTTTGGCAATATATTAGGGATGAAGGGATAATAGTGGAAATATTAATTGGTTGAGGATAGGAGGGCTAAGGGAAGACTGTCGTGGATAGGTAAATGAAATTATCAGCTGGTTTTCTGGAGATGCAGAGTCAGAGATGTTTGAAACGGTAACCCGAAAACGTTTGGAATAGAGGTCCATGGTCGCCAACCCTCAGATGCGAGGTTGATATCGTGACTGATCAGCAATTTTTTTCCAGTGGACAGAAACCCGCCACAAGAATCAGTGGAGTGAACATGGATCTAACATCAAGATCTTTAAGGGTGCAATGCCTTTTTTATCGTATGAAAGAACTATTATCCTTAATTAAAAACAAATTATCAAGTGTACAAACTAAGAGCTGGTAAACGGTGCTTAGATACCCCAATAGATGAAGTATCAAATGCATTTAAACAAAGACAGTAACAACCCACTAACATTAGGTTAGGTTATGTTATGTACGACTTGATTTTATCCTATCATTATGTTAATATTGAAAGACTGGTATGATGTGTCTGGCTTTTAGAAGTATGATTCGATTATTTCATGCTAGATGATGTTATGGAAGATTATGCTGAAGTCTTATCATGTTATGTTATAGAAGATTAAGTCAAATTAGTTAATTTACATGGGGCATTTTTCATACAGTTTAGGTACGAGAGGGTGGAGAAAAACAGAGAGAGAGAGAGAGAGAGAGAGGGGAGGGGAGGGGAGGGGACGGGACCTGGGGCCGGAAGTCTTGTCCAGATACACCACCAGTATCTCTAAATTTCCTCCCCGATTGACGTCAGACTTGCTTGCCTCACGGACTCGTCTGTCGGATTTAACGGGGGAGGGGTGGAGGTTGTTTACTACTAAAAGGGGGATGGGGGTTAAGTTGGTAGCTAACGTAATTAGGTGTATTCTGGGAGGGCAGGGGGAAATGAAGGGTGGGTGTGGGGGAAGGGGGTAGTTATATTATGAAGTCTTGTTTAGCTCTGTAGACTATGTGCTGGTTTATGTAATGCTGCAGACCTGTATTGCGTGATATTACAGGGCTTAGTAGTTTGTTTCCAATGCAAGTGTTTGTGAGGTACTGTAAACCCATCCATAGTGTAATATTTACGTGAGGGTTTGTGTGATGTAGATTCGTAGCGTATAGTATTCCAGGCCTAGAATTGTTTATTTTGTAAGTGTTTTTATGTAAGTTTTTTTTTAATAGCACCGGAGCTTAGTATTGGAAGGCTAGATTGTTTGGATGATTCCAACTCCGAATTCAGGGCACTTATTCATTCTAGTGGGAATTATGAATAAAGTGAAGGTTTCATGATGTAATACTGTAGTTTCCGGAGAGGGCTACAGGTTCCCCAATAATTTCTTGGAAATGTGTCCTCTGCTCTGACGTCAAATACCCTGTGGGTCATGGTCAGGTTAGATTATTTGTTTGTCTCTATTAGTGAAAATAAAGCTATGGTTTCAGCTTACCGGGATTAATTTGTCCATATTGTAGTAATACTCTCAGATACTAAGATTATTATGTAAGAAGAACGCCAATAATAATAATAATATTAATAATAATAATAATTATTATTATTATTATTATTATAGCACAATACAAATAATATTGACTTAAAACATCGTAAGATTTGGTTGGGGAAGTTGGTGCCGACTGTATGCACTGTGTGTGGGTGTTGGTTGTATTGTGGGGAACACTACAGTATGGTGTGTTTGCCTTCCTCTCTGTGTACTAAGGTGAAGAATCTCACTGGGCATTATTCAGTCAAATCCATACAGTTAGAAATAGCTCGAACATGTTTAGGTGCATATTCAAGTGCCTGTACAAGCCCAGTGTTCGACAGAGAACGAACCAAGTATGTGGTGAAGGTGTCACCTATACACCAACTTCCCACGGCGTGTCGTGGGTGTGGGTGTCAGTAGAGAGAAAGGAGGACATTTATTGTCGTTGGGATCTGATTACTGGGAAGGTAGGGTTTGGTGGTCTCTTTTTCTCTCCAGACCTCGATAATGAAATATTGGCTGGTGTCTAAAGCATACCGTATCGTTCAAAAAAGGCAGTTTTGATTACAAAAGGAAGTGTCACCGTAAATATCCTAACAGGGATTCTTTTTATCTGTGAAGTAGAATAGAGTTATGAAACTTCTTCATCCGCCCTGGCAACTCTCTCGAAGATATTACTTACGTAAGCTGATGGTGAAGGGTCGTGGCTGCGAGTTAGTTGCGGTAACCCAAGAGTTATTGTGATGGCTGGTTTAGTAGCTTTGTCATCTGCAAACGTTACTTTGTATAAACCTTGTTTTTTGGTTGTTATTGTTTTTGGTACTTAAATGTAATTAGTACTACGAACTCATATACAGTACTCGTAATAGGTGTGTGGAATATTACAATATTACTTAGGCAGTACATTAGTGCAAGTTTACGTACGAGTACTGTATGCATAATTTTTAACAACAAATTTACAACGTACATACTACAAACTTTTACGTATAAAATCATTTACTTTACTCGTAAAAAATACATGATATTCTGAATTTGTAAATGCTGTTCATGTAATCACTGTATTGCGTTTATACAATACTTATGCAACAATTACTAAGTACATATTTCTTGTGGATGTTGTGTACAGTATAATTGAGCAACAGGTAATTACTACTAGTTGATCCTCAAGCATTCTGTATCATAATTTGGGTTTTGAGAGGCATGGGACTCCCTTTTTTTCATTAGTGGCCTGGTTAAAGTATTGAGGACTCCCAGTGGTTAATAATACACGTGTGGCAGGGATTTATTGCAACGTCTGTTAATTAATTATTGGTGTTGCCAGCCTTTTATTTAGGCAGTGTCGTAACTTCCTGGTCTCTCTCTCTCTCCCCTCCGCGCCCACCTTGACCCGACCCGACCTTCCCCTCTCTCTCTCTCCGCGCCCACCTTGCCCTGACCCGCCCACTCTTCCGCGCCCTGACCCGACCCGACCTTCCCCCGACCCGACCCGACCTTCCCCCATAGCCTACACCATTACCCGTTCGCCATAGAGTTTACTGGGGCCATTGAAGGAGAAAGGGATGCGTGTGCTGTGGCGAGGTGGGATTTGATTTTTTTTTTATTGTGGTGGGAGTCTGCTCAGTGGATTTTGTTTAAGGTGGGAAATGTTTTTGATGGGCTTTTGTCGAGGGGCAAATATTGTGGGATTTTTTTCCTCATTGGGGAGTATATCCTGCCACGAACTGGAAATATGTACTGTGGATGTAGTGTGGAAGATGGAAATATGTACTGTGGAAGTTTGTTGAGTGAGGGGGGAAGATTGGACTTAAGTGCACGATATTTGAGCGTATGTACATATACAAACAAGTACACAGCCACAAACACTCAGTGACGAGCTATTTTAATTCCCCCCCCCCCTCCCCCTCTGTCTCCCTCACCATGGTCCACATCCTCTTTGTGCCACATGTTGCTCCACACTGCTGCCATTTCACATATAGCGTTGTGTTTTATTGCATAGTAAATTTTACTTGCCTTTAAGGAGGTAAATGATTGGTGTCTGGTTCTGTAACTAGTATAACATATAGTACAGTATTAAACAACTACCGGTACTATTGTAATACTGTACAGTAGTTGTCTTTGTCGGTAAACACAATATCCAATACAAGTTCCATACTATGTTCTTCTAAAAACATTTGGTATCCCGAAGTTATATGATCCAAATTAAACAATTATTCAACAAAATAAAATTAATGTGTCCATGAATTAATTGTCACCCTGTACAATCAACAATTTAAGTTAGGTTAGATTAGGATTTGAGTGTTTTCTGTGGTCATGTCATATTTTGGTTGTACTGTACAGTATTGTATAATTAAATTAACGTCTTTTTTATAGAAAATTTGTCTACAGTAGTTCTATACAATGATTTTTTTCTTACATTTAGATGTGTATACGTACATGTACTGTACAGTACCGGTACTTGTGCAATCAGTTCTTACATAATTCAGTATGGCAGTAGCTTGATTTAAAACTTGCCACAAACTGTTTTATACATGAGGGGTATATAGTATAATTCGTATGAAAACTATGTTTGGAATTTTGTCATATTACTGTACAGTATAGTATAGTTTTCTGTCATTATCCACTTAGATCGCATTGTTGGTACAGTGGCGCTGTAGTCACAGAACAGGATAGCTGCTGTACTGTATTCTTGTGTTTTGATGCACTTATATGTTTATTACTGTATACAGTACTGTATACTGTCCACATATTATGTGCAGTCATGCATGCACATTTACATATTTGAAAACACACATCACCTCTGATAAATTTTTCAGTTGTGTATACAGTACTGTACTGTGTTACCAGCCCCTGCATATGCAAAGGCTTACTGTACAGTATGGTACAGTATTTTGATTTGCACATGTTTGTTCATATGTATGTCCATGCTTCTGTCCCTCTCGAGTTTGTTGGTAAGATTATTTTTTAATATACTGTATGTTCACTAAAAACTTTATTTCATTAGCATTCTCTTGGCAACGTTATATTCATTGTTAGATGATTAGATTAGATAGTTATGCCATTTGAATGATTTAGCGTAAAAAAAATCCTTAGCTTTTGGCTCGACTTTTGTAGCTAGTGGAGGCAAGTGTGTTTTTTTAAACACAGCCCTAATTTTATGAACTGTACAGTGCAGTATATTGTAGAACAGTACTGTATTAACATCTGTTTTATTTCCTGTGATCCACTGATTTATTCAAAACTATGTACAATGTATTTATCTTCAGAACAAGGTTTGCGTGTTAGAGTCGTGGGTACGTGATCTCGGGGAACAGAACGCAGTACTGGTAGTCACGGTGGAGGAATTGGAACGAGAGGCGGCAGATCGTGTCGCCCTCCTGGAGGACCGCCTCAACAAGATGGCCGCCACGACCAGAGAGTCGTGTGTATCTCTGCGAGACCACCAGATCCAGGTACAGTTATGCAGTGGAGTAGGAGTTGTGATCGTGGGAAACAGTACGCAGTCCTTTGTAGAGCTTACTTGGTATCATCCCCAAGGACTCTCTTCTGTCTTTGCATCTCATTATACAAACATGCTGGGTGCAGGGCCTGATTGTAGACCTGTGGGTATTAAATGTGTCAAGAAAGAATATGCTGCTGTTGATGCAATTTAAAATGGTCACCTCTCCTGAAATTAAAGAAAAAATTGCAATGCAACTATTCAAACCTGAAAAACTCAGTGCTTACCTGTAGGACCTGTTCTTGTGTTTTGATTAGGGATACTCACCGTTAAATCACCTTCATTTATAGTTACAACTTTACCTGGCCACCCTTCAGGTTTCACACAGTACCATAGTTTTAAAAACCAGTTTATGATGTACTGTACACTCATAAGAAATGTGTTAGAATGCTGAAGAAAAAAGGGGTTTTCTTTTAATGTACGTGTATGTCGAAAATATGTTGGAACATTACGTTGGTCGTTGGATGGAGGATAAAGACAAGGGTTTTCCTGATTGTATTGTCAAGCCAGTTATTGTGTTTTCTTAAGAATGATAATATATGGTTCAACTCTTTATTGTACAGTACTTCCTTTGCAGGTGTCATCACTAGTCACAGACAAAATTGGTTTAGAAAAGAAGGCACAAGGGTTGGGAGAAAAGGTACTCACTCTGGAAAGGAAGAATGTTTGCCTGAAGGAGGAGAATGTTAACCTGCAGAGTGATCTCAATAATCTTGTACAAGTAAGTTAACTCACCTGTTCTCTTAGCTACTTCAAGGTTCGGTACTGTATTAGCCTGTCAGTCTAATTATTGGAAGAATAAAGACAGTGAGCAGATGATGTCAAACTAGAGCATGTTGACTGCCAAAGTTAAGCCATGGAAACCTTAATGGTCTGTTACATAATGTACTGTACCTTCTTTTGAATCTTTGGCTCCAGATTCTTATTGCTAATACTGTACAAGACTGTATTTTGTTGTCTAATCTGATTATTTTATATAGAGTACCTGTAATTATTATTTTAAACTCCTTAATTCATCACCATTGTCATTATATATCATCTTCAATCATCATCATCACATATCTTAAATTGTCACCACATACCATCTTGAGTCATCACCACCTCATCACATACATCTTCCTGAATTGTCATCCTCATTACTATAACTCATCGTCACCATTATTACCTCAACCCCCATAGGTGATAACCCGTGCAAGACAGACGGGTCAGTGGGAAGCTGATGACCTGACATTCTCGTGCGTTACCCCAGAGCAAGTGTTCGGACCTGTGTTATCCTCCTCCAGGTTTGTGATGTATTTATTTTATTTCATTAAGGGTGGATAGCAAACGGATGAGTAAGTGTGTTTTGAGAGTAAGGGAAGTGTTGGAAAAGAGAAGGATGTGTTGGGAGAGTGGAAGGAGTGTTATGAGAGTAAGAGAATAGAAAGGAGAGGAAGGAAGAGATTAGATACCACTGATGTGTAAAGATGGTGAAAGAATGTGAAGGTACTGTACTTTATACAAATGGTTGCTTATGTTATTTAATTGTTATCATATGTATTTGACATATTGATTTATTTATATACTGAACTTGATTACCAAAAAAGTACAGGTATAGGGTCAGTGGTAAATAAAAATAGGATCAAAAGCTGTTAAAATATATATATTTATCCATAAGCCCAATCAGGAGTTGAATATGTCCTTTGTTGTGTCCAGAAGATCCTCCCAGTCTCTTAAGGATGGCCAAAGAGATTACCTCCACCAACTTTTGGAGGATCACCTTAGAAAGGACAACTCCTCCATGGCTAGTTCATTTTCCAATCTTCAGGTGAGTTGGAGAGATACAGTTTTATAGAGGGGAAGATAGTTTTAGTGGGTATTGAGGTTTGTAAAGGATACAAGTTTTGCATCTTTTAGCAGACTGGATACTGTGGTGTGGGGGTTGATATTCATAGGCTTTTGTATCTTTTAGGTAAATGAACAAGACACAAGTTTGATCCATCAGTTAGGCAGGATTGGAGAGACATAAATATCTTCTATGTGCATAGACCTGGTCATTGTATCATGTCAAGACACTTTTTTTTAATGTTTCCTCGAAGAAACTGAGAGATAATACGTCTATTTTATGATTTAGTCCATCTTAAGGTCAAAAAATCTAGAAATCCAGATTAACCTATAGGTATAAGTGGCTAGGAATAATTCATGAATTATTAATGCTTTCCTGTCATAGTCAACATCCCACAAAGTTATCTTGGGAAACAAGTGTCACCACACAAGGTTGAACCAACTATTTGTTACATACAGTACCAATATCAGTTTGTGTGCACCACATTTATAGCTTAGCTTGGCCATAGGGTGTCAATTCAGGCTTCAAACCTTTGTTGCAACTACTATTCACAGCTGTAATGACACTTTCCTGGCAGCAGTGTCTCTTTGATTTTTTAGCAAGGTAGATGGCTGGTTTTCACAGGTATGTACAGTGAATCCTCCAGTAAATAAAATACAGGTTATTATTAATTACCCTAGGATGCAGAAAGTAGTATGTATGGAGGACGAGGGTCTGAAAAAGACCTGATCATCATGAAGTTGAGGTCTGACTTCAGAAATTTACAGTCATCATATGAGGAAACCAGCCAACAGCTGCTAGAGAGAGACAAACAGATTGCAGATTTGCAGGTACATTTTAATGATGCATTTGGTCTGTTACAGAAATTTAAAGAGTTTAGATTAAGTTAAAAATATTCTATTATTTAATTTATTTATAGAACATATTGAATATAATATGACAACTATTTTTCATGGATACAGTACAGTAGTATATTTTTCTTATGCTTATCTTGATTTAATGTATGGAATTCACATAGGTTATGTGCATATAATGAAAAGAATTTGCCTATCAGATTTTTTCACTATTCTCCCATGCTAACCTTATGTCTTTTAATAGACACAACTGACAGAAACCCATCATGAACTAGCCCTATCCCAGGCTGAAGTCAACACTGTTAAGCATACACTGCAGGAAGTACGTCATCGCAACAGACATGAAAGTGTGGAGGTGTGTGGTCACTTAATATTTATTTTATTCGTGTTTCATCTCCATTTGAAACAGGAAGTAACATGCAAGTACCTCCCTCAGAATTTCAAAGATCTGGATGTCCACACTGTTTTTGGCCTTAGACCTGGTAGTGGCCTTGAAAATACGTGGGAAAAAAATTATTTACTGGTTTATTATCAGCAGCCACCTGATAATATTTTGGACTTTTAATTTATGAGGTGTGAGTTTGATGTTACTGGACAAGTGCATATGTACCAAAATTACAACTAAAAAAAAATATCAGAATTTTTGGTCAAAAGTACCTTTTCACCTGGAATTGAAAACTAACTTGAGATTAAGATTCTGTGTTATCTTTCTATTAACACAGGTAGAGCCAGTCATGATGTACAGTGTGTAGATAATGGTCATATGATTTATAAAAGTTCTTCTCTTGTCTTATTTTAGATCACCCGCAAGGAAGAAGTCATCCGCCATTTACTCTCCAAACAAAGCTTCTTAAAGAAAGATTCTATGAAAGGGTCGTCACCATCTATGGGTGACATAGACACAGTCATTACCGGTGAAAATAATGTAAGTTATATTAACACTTATTCTCATTTTATTATACTGTACAGGTAACTCGCATTTTACGCGTGTTTGATTTAAGCGTTCTTGGAATACCGCAATTGTTCAATTAATACCAAAAGTTAATTTACACGCACCTATTTTTGAAATAATATACTCAAGACATTTTAAATTTGCTGCTCATATTCGCCTGGTCGTCTGGCAGTGGAGTCGCATGTGATCCCTGGTGAGGTGCTTGTAAGTTAGTATTATAAAGCCGCAGTCATATTAACATCAACAATTTTATTATTATTGTTAATTATAATTATTATAATAATGTAATAATAAAGATTATTACTAGTAATGATGATAGTGAAGTATTCTGTACAACAACTGTGACGACGTCCACCAAGCTTCCCGCGTATCACTTTCTCAGTTCACACCAGCACTACTTTTTCTCTGTGCTCTCATTTGCATTGTGTGTTTATCACGCACCTTTTTAGTGTTAATCGCTGTTTCCCTCATTGAGCATGTCTGGAAAACTTCCATCTGCCTTCTCTGGGGTGCCTAAAGCTAAAAAGAGACAAAAAACAATCACAGTGGACGTGAAATTAAATGTGATCACCTACCTTGCATAAATTGTAAAGAAAACAAAAAAGTTATATTTAGTTCCACTTTTTCACTAACACCCAGTTGGACAAACCGTTTTTGTTATGTGCATCTCTTTGTTCAGGTATCCCACACCTGCCTCATTACATCCCTTTTTACCCCTCAGCCAGTTTGTACTTGTCAACTACCTGTACATTGTACTGTAGTTTTGAATTTTTGGATACATCAGTTAAAATTATGGTACATTAGTCAGACCGATTGAAGGGATTTCTGTAGACTTTGTTGCTAACCCATGCAAGCTGCATTTCAATTATGATTATCCACTACCACCTCTGTATTTTCATATTGTCACCAAATATTTTTCATAAGTTAAAAAAAAATCTCACTTTTAGCTCTTCAACATTTCTTAATTTTGTTTTCTTTTTCATCATGATTTTACTTTATAAGCACTTCTATATCTATATAACTTGAACCCTCATTGACTCTAGATTGTTAGACTGATAGATCAACCTTTCATTCAGGTTGAGGCACAACTGAGTGAAAACATTGATGTGTTAGCAAGTCGTCTAGCAGACTTAGAAGATGAATGTCAGCAGCTGAGGAACCAACACACAGCACTCCAGGAGACACATGCCCTTTGTTCCCCAACCATCAATATGCTCCAGGAACAACTTAATAGGTCACATCAGGTTAGCAGTTCATTCAACTTCTGCTTTGGTTATTATTTTTAGTTTTGTTCTCGTATTTGAAATGTAAATAATTTTTTTAACTTGGCCTCTGAAAATTTCCAGGTTTTTTAAGGTAAGTGAGTTTTTTTTACAGTGCTTGACATTAAGCTGTATATTTAATCTGCTTCAGGAGTAGACTGTGTATTATAAGTTTATTTTTGTGTTTCTTGTGCATAGACCCTTTAGTTAAACTTAAGCATTAGTGCATAGTATAGCATACCTGTATCACATTCAGTGTTGCTTACTCATGCCAGTAAATGATGTACTGTACTGTATATTATAAAATATAATCCATGTTTTATATTTGAGGTCAAATTTAGAAGACCATTATTGATTGTGGCAGTGACCTCCTCCTCTCACTAGGTACCCTTCTCAAACTTGTTTTCAAAGGGTTGTATCATTACCTAATTTCAATATGGGAATGGACGAGTTGATGGTCGGAATTTTTTCATAAGATGGCAGGTCAATGGGTAAAGAAAATGCTTAAATTCACTATGGTAATAATATTTTTAAATAAATTGAGCCAAGAAGTGTAAAAATAAGGGTTAAAGGTGCTAAAAAGTCATGTGACTGTGAAAAGCTCTGTGATTGGTTGTGACATGTGAGCCGCAGACCGGGAATCAGCCAGTTGTGGAATGCAGCAATGAGCTTGATAGAGCGTCGTCTGCAGGGTAGGGTGTGACGTCATTGCAAGTGGCGGCCCTGTTTCTAGAGAAATAAACTTATCTTGACTATTATAGCAGAACTCTAAACTTTTATTACAAATTATATACTATACCGTATCACACTATGAACGTGGCAGAGTGTATTTCTTGTTTTTTTACCCAGAACTGTCAGCTTGTCCATTATGTTTTAGTTCGTGTCACATAATTTGCATGAATTGTGATTTGTGCTTAGGTGATGGAATGTAATACTAACCCACAATTTGCCAAGATCCAGTTATATTTTTACTTTATTCCTTATCCTAATGTGAATGCCATTACAGCACAGTACTGTATTACTGATCCAATGCCCTATTCTCCAAGTTTCTCATTTCAATACTATACAGGAGATACCAATAGTTTGTGTAGAGGGTGATTAATTTTAATACTGTACTTATGTAAGTCCTTGGCTCAGGCTTGCAAGAGATATTAATACAGTACTCTTATGGGGTGGGTAAATAAACTTTTATACTACAATAACTAGAATATTTATGTTCTTGTTTAGATGGATCCTTTGCATTTTATACCTTGAGCAGTGTGAAATACAGTACAGTAATTGGCTCTACCAAGGGTATTAAAAGAAATACCAGTTTAATAGTAACATATACCATAATTTAAAAAGTTGTAATAATATACTGTAATGGTAAGTGGTAAAGGGGGCACAGGATTTGGCATTTTTCTACACAAGATTGTTGTAGGCGAGTGCTAATTGCTACTGTAATCCTGATACTCCGCCGATGTAGACACAAGTGGAGTTACGCACGGTACTAACAGCTGAGGTTGCCCAGCGGCACGATGAGTTGGTCACCCTCAGAGATGAGTTGAAAGAGCAGGAGCAGATGCATCATGAAACTCAGATGCAGCTTCAACTTAAGGCTGAGGTCATTAAGGATCTCAGAAAGGAATTACGTGATATGAAGGACAGGCAATTGACTGTTGATGGCAAGGTAATTAATTTTGGTCATCTAATTCCAAATCTTCATCTTTCTTTCTATGTCTTTCCATCTATTTATATACTGTATATAGAAAACTATCAACTTGAAAATTTATCTATAAAATGTACTGTATCTATAAATATATGTGTACTAATCACTAATTATATCTAAATCAAACTTTATTCTCAACTTATTTGAACAAGTTACTCGGCCTAATAAGTTTATGAATTGAGTTTGTTAACCTTTGCCTGATGTTCAATAGATGTTAAAAGCATTGAAATACAGAGTATTGTATTCACAAAGTCTTGTTCTGGTTTTAAAATTTTACCACAACCAAACCAAAAGATACAGTGATGTTTATTTGTGTGTGTGTGTGCATCACAAATTATAAAATAGTCTTGTATTCTTTGGTAAAACTCAACATGTGCACCTTTGTGGCACCTATTACATTCAAGCAATATTCTATTCATATCCACATGCTCTCTAACAGGAAGTGTTTCAGTATCAGTAACTGGGGTTTGGAAAACATAATCCTTGACATACCCACAAGAAGAAGTCTCAGGGCATCATATTGGGAGACTGTGGAGGTCAAAGGACTGGCCCATCACATTCAGTCCATTTACCAAGGAAGTTCTCATTAAGGAAGTTGTACACTTACAAACTCCAGTGTGAAGGTTTCCTAAATAATAAAGTATGGCTTTGAATCTGTCAGTCAAGCTTTCTGTCTCCAGAAATTTACAAGACCAACTCTTAATCCTGCGGTAGATAAGGAGGGTCCTTGCCATATTGATGACAGTAATTTTATTGGATTACTGTTTGTGATTTTGACTCCATGAACTAGATGACATGTACTTTCTCCTACAGAGTTGACATTTTTATTTATCATTCAGTTAATAGTAACTGGTAACTCATATTCAGATGCGCACAAGAAAGTCTAAAAGTTAAGTAACAAATTGGATAAAACTGCATCATTGCATCTTTTATGGTTATGTTGTGGACACTATAAATGTTATGTACTAGCATATTTCATGCTTTTAGTCTGAAGATGCTTTTGCATTTCATCATTGTATTTTTGGTATTTTGTAGAAGAATTTCATGTTTTTGTTTAATATATTGCACTTGTAAATTAATTGTAGCAGTAGTTAACATAAAGTGTGGTGTAACTTTACAGAATACTTTAACCTCAATGAAGGATGGTGTGTACAATGGTAGCAAGGAGACTAAGTCAACAGAGGTGCAGACAAGTGAGGTGGGTGTTTCTCTACTCCTGGTATTATTTTTTTTATTTATATGTATAATGTACAGTATAGTATATATATATATATATATATATATATATATATATATATATATATATATATATATATATATATATATATATATATATATATATATATATATATATATATATATATATATATATATATATATATATATATATATATATATATATATATATATATATATATATATATATATATATATATATATATATATATATATATATACATACTGTACTCAGTAAAGCCTCAAAATAATGAATCATTAATTACCATTTAAATACAGTAAAGAAATAATAATGAGATGCATTCCCCAGTGTGGCATTTTCATAACTTTTGTGTGGCTTTTTACCCTCTTTTCCCCCAAAACAATACAATTAATGAAAAATACAAACTGTATTCTTTAAATAATGTTTATGAATGCACCTTCTACAATATAAATCAATAATAATATCACACAAGAGGAGATGGGATGCAATTGTTGTTGTCTTGTTTACACCCATAATGTCAATTATCCACCTGAAACAAGGAAATGAGACCCTGGTTGTTGTTATAGTAAAATGAATGTAAAAAAATATATATGTTTTGATTAATGTTATTTAATGTACAGTAAAAGTAACCATTGATAAAGAAAAAAAGAGAGTGATAGTGGAACGGCAATGTGTACTTGCGCCCTCAAGGAAACTGTGTCATTTATCTTAAGAATATGTACAAAAGATTCATTATTGTTTATTACTGAATATGTATTTGATTGAATAAATGTTTATATATGTGAAATGAACAATGCAATACATTAATAACATGTAGAACATTAAAACACACAAGAGGAGACGAGACGGCATTGTTTTCGTTCATGTTTACAACACCCGTGACGAATGACGATGGTTTTACTTCTACATAAGAAACTGAAAAAAAATAAGACCCTGGTTGTTACTGTAGTAAAATTAATGCCAAAAAATGAATATGTATGTATTAAGTACTGTAATGTTATTTAATGTTAATAAATAGAACAATAGATGTAGCTAACCATTAATGGGAAAGAAAAAACTAAATAGATTGAGAACACCATCATATGTAAGTTCGTATATGTGAAAACATCGTCATTTCTCAAGTACATAAGAATATGAAAGCAACACTTATTACTGTTCATACATGTTTCAAATAATACTTACTAATGTAAAACAAAAATTCTACACACAAATGGTGGTAAAGTCTAAAACATAAGGACACTCAATGAATATTGTGCTAGTTTTTACTCAGATGATTTCATCAATCAGGTTCAGCTCTGGCTGAAGCTTTCCATACAGATATCATAGCTGTTGCTGAAACTGTTACTGAACCTGAAGTTGTTGCTGAATTTGATGGTGTAGCTGAAGTTGTGGTTTAGGCCTTTGAATAGTAAAGCTGTCAAAAGAACGTTTCACAGCCACTTTATTTTCTCATTATACATCCTTATGTAGAGGTCATATGTGTTTTTCCTGTCTGTTAATTTTAATGCTTTGTTCTGTTTATGGATCTACATCAGAAAATATTATTATTTCAATGCTTGCTCCATATAATATCCACAGACCTCTCACCTTTTTCATATCGTTTTAACACATCTAGTTTCTTGGCTAAGCTTATGCGCTTTCTTTTAGCTTTTGAACCAGCACTACCATAACTTGCTCTCTAGCTCTTGTTGAATAGGGACTCAAAAATGCCGTAAGAAGCCTAAGAAAGTTTTTCTCCTGTTCCTGTTCAGATGTGTGAAAACAAAGGGACCGCCAAGCTCCGACTCTTGTTTATATTTGATGTGCATTACCACTCATTAGCTAGGTAGCTTCTTTGCACAAGGCACTCTTCTTTTTTTTCAGTATTTTTTTTTTTATAATACATATCGGGATTTAGTTATTTTATTTTATTTTTATTATATTTTCGTCATAAAAAAACATAAAATAATGATGTAAATTGAATTTGGTCCTAAATTAACCAGGGTCTTAAATATGAATAATCGTTGGTAGAACTGTCGTCATCAGAGGCTTTACTGTATCTCTCCGTTAGCCAAAACAATTGGTGCAGAGCATTTTTGGGAATGAGAGATTTCCAGGTAACGAGACGACTCTCTCAAACCAGGAAAAACTCCCCATCCCCGTAATTTTTTGGGTACTGTATTGGGAAATTTTTCTCTGAGTCTTCTGAGGACATTAAATTCCAGCTATCAGAGGGTTCCGGGTTTGAGGGATTCTGGCTAACGAAGATATTACTGTGTATATATATATATATATATATATATATATATATATATATATATATATATATATATATATATATATATATATATATATATATATATATATATATATATATATATATATATATATATATATATATATATATACATATATATATATATATATATATACATACAGTAGCCCCTCGTTAACCTCAACAGAAGGTCGTTGTTGAAACGTTTGCATTGTTTCAATGGGTTTTTGGGTAATTGGTTCCAGCTCACCGAAAATTTCCTAAATTCAACAAAAATGGTAGAAAAGTTCACTTACTTTGAGGTGTGTATGTAGAAGGCTCCTGGATGATGATGATGATGATGGGATTTAGAATGGGGGTGGAGGAGAAGGAAGAAGAGAAGGCATTGGGGTGGAAGAGAAGTCACCCCATGGTGCCATTTCACCCATAAAATTTTAGCTCTCTGGTTTAATTCAAGATTATTTTCTTTAAATCAATGCTGCACTGCATTATATATTGTCAATATATAAAATATATTTCAAAATGACCAATAATTTGCTTGGAAACACAGAAAAAAAGCATTTAGTTGAAGAGAGTCTCAAGCAAGATGTTACCTCCAGTGAAAACAGAGAGAGACTGACGCCTGTTTGCTGTGTTAAGAGGCTGGATGCCGCGCATTAAACTAGTCACTTTACCTTCAATTTCGTTCAATAATTGTTAAAATGACTAAAAAATTGAATATTAAACTTTTAAAATTATTGAATAGTATAAACTTCTTGATATTTACAAAAATAGTAAGGAATTTAAGCCCTAGAACCGATTAATGTATTGGCGGACTGATACTAAAGCTGGTTGCCCGGTCAGTGCAAGCGAAAACATGTTGAGGTCGGTTCGTAAGAAGTTCGTTAAGCGAAATTTTTTTCGTTAAACGAATTGAAGATCCTTATGGAAGGCAGTTCGTTAATCGAAATTACGTTAACCGAGGTGTTCGTTAAACGAGGGGTCACTGTATATATATATATATATATATATATATATATATATATATATATATATATATATATATATATATCATAACCATTTGAGCAGTGGCCTTCAGATGAATGACTTCTAATGTCAGCTCATTTACATGAGTAAATAGCCAACCTATTTTGAGATGTACAGTGAATTTGTGTACAGAGTATTTGCTAAGTTTGGGGAGTGAAGGGTTTGGTGTGCTTTCCTGATCATTGTCACATTTGTTGTTGGAAGCATTACTTTTACACCCTGATTTAAGAAGCTGATGCACACTGCACAATACAGTACAGTGTGTACAGTACACTTTTGGATGTGCTTGGCATTGAGGGAATATGATCTTTGGTAGACAAGCACCTGCTAAGATGGCGGGGTAGTCTATACAGTATTTATTTTAAACAGTAAATAATGAAAAATTTTCCACTATTTCTATCACATTGTATTCTCCCAGATATTTTCAAACAAGAACATATCCTTGGCTGAAGAAACAAACAGAATGTCATCAAATGGATTTTACTCACCAGCATCTCAACCTTCCCAAATATCAAAATTGGAAAATGAGGTGAGACACTTCATTACTTTTTCATTACATCTGTATTTTTCTGAACATTCTCGAGTTTACTGTGTATCAGAAATAAAAAATTTCCATTTTCACATGTTTGCCAAGTTTTCCATTTTCCTTTTTGCATCGCTAGCTTTGCATAAGTTAGAGACAAGCTTTTAGTTTTGTTGTCAGGGGATGATATAATAGTGGGTAGTGATTGATTACCTGGGAGTTGCAACCCAGCATAGCTAAGTGTTCCCACCCTGTGGGTTAGTGGTAGGAAGGGCATCCAGCTGTAAAACTTTGCTTCAACTTACCTGATGGCAACTGGGTCACCATAAATGTGACCATCCCCTGGTCACTGCTGCATCATCTGAGCTGGCACCCTGGGTTTGCTGTAGTGAACAGAGGGGACACATCCCATTGTGGTTTTACCCATCAGGTAATTGCAGCTAACCCATGCAAGCATAGAAAATGGTCATAAAATGTTGATAATGATGATGAGTATTATTATGTTATGACAATGGTTGTTGCAATTGTAAGACATTGTTGTGTTAATGTTCATTTTTATCTAGTATCACTCGGTACTTTAATAAGGATTTGACATTATGGCCTCTGATAGCAAAGAAGTACCTGTACTGTAGTTTGCTTCTTGTCACATGGTTTTCAAAAGATTCATTGTTGAATATAAACTTTGGGTGATAGTTTAATATTTTAGATTGTAAAATCATAAAAAAAAATTCTTTTGTGCATATTGTTTCAAAAGTAGACTGACATAACTTTGTTTATAGCTTCTGTGGTTTTGAAATTTCTACATCAAAGTTTCATATGTATGTAAGTCATCCTATTTTCTGTCATTAAGGTTCAAGTTAGTGTCCATATTTTGATTATACAAGTTCAGTATCTACTAACTTAATCATACTGATATTGTCACCAAGGTGTAAAACAAACTGGTGTAATATACTGTAGGTCTGTGTTGTTGCTGTCTCTGCATCCACCTTTGCTACCCCATAAACAAACCAACAAACAAAAAATAAGATAAACACTTGCAAACTCAAAAACACACATACACAGCTTTGTGCAGCCTCTCTTTACAAATGTTGCTTTGCCTTGACTTCCCTACCCATCTTATATGTAGCTTGCGGAGAAATGCATCCTCCTGCGGGAGCTTCAGAGCCACCTGGCTTCATCTCGACAAGAGTTACACTTAAAAGATGAGACTCTCCAAAAGGTATTGTTCAGATATGTTGTATTTTTTAAACATTTAATGTACTCTATGTGCATTATGAAAATATAACAAAATTACAGTGAAAGGCAAGATAAAGGAGAACCCAAAAAGTGTTTTTGTGAACTACAGTTTATCACTTCATTGTGAACTCCTTTTGTGGCATTGCAGACATCAGAGAAGCATCGTTTCCCTCCATACATTTTGTCGGACACTATACAGTACTGAACTTTTCTAACAGTCTCATGTATCCATCCTTCCTTCAAATTTCCAAGTTACTCTCATTGATGGAACAAGGACGTCTATTTTTACATAGTACCTTTTTCACAATGGGGTTACAACATTGCTGAGTAAACACCTGCCTGATCTTTGGATAGTGTATGGGGGTCCATTTGTTGGCCGGCTCATTTGTCCAATCTAAGCCTCTTAACATTTTCCTCTGGGGCTTCATATATCAAGTATGAAGCAACTATGGGAAATCTGAAGGGAAGTTTATGTGAGGCTGTTAGAAAAGTCCAGTATATATATTACAAAATGTATTATTGTAATACATTTTTATGTCTGCAGAGCCATAAAAAGAGTTCATATTAAAGCTAGATAATAACCCTTTTTTGCTATTCATTGTACCTTTGTTAGTCGTGTCATAATAAATGTTTAAAAGTAGAAATATTTTTGGAAATCAACCAGTATGGTAGTTTATATTAATTCTATAGGGAAGCTTGTACAATATATTGCTACTATATACAGGGTATTTGTATACATTTTATATAGAATCTTGTACTGTGGATTGTTATTTTTGAATATATTTTAAATTGTATTTTGATTACAAACTTAAAATCTAAAGGTAATTAGTATTTGTTTAAAAAGTAAGCAGTATTTTGTTTACTGTAACAGTTAGAGCAAAAATTGGACTCATCACGACGTGAAGGAAGTCAGAAAGGAGAACGTATGCAGTACTTAACAGGTCAGCTGACCAGTCTCCAATTAGAGGTTGGTCGCACTCATGGTCAAGCTGAACAACTTCGCAGACAGGTAAGATACTTGTTCCTTTTAACTTTAATCACAGATGTCAACACCACCTTTTTTATCACCATCCCCAGGTAATTGTACTCACACTATTGAAACAGATCTGACTAAACTTATGCAATGTTATGCCAACATAAAAATCAATATTGTTTTCTCTGTTAGTTTGGGAATGGCAGTTAATTTTTCCCATCTTTGCGTTTGTCAGTCAATCATTATGCAACATACACAGTTGATGATGCAGCAAAAAATTTCACATTAATAATAATGGAAGACTGCAGTACTGTATTTATACCAGTAATGTTTTTTTTTGGGGAATACATCACACCTGTTATAGAAATAGTTAAAACAGTTAAATATGGAATTCATTTGATCTAGCAGTCTGTATTGAACCTTGGTGAACAGGGGAAGACCAAGGAGGAAATGTTAGCTTGGGGTCGGAACCACTAGAAGCAACAGTGTGTGTGTGTGAATGACGGAAAACACTTTGTCATGGGATTTTAGGGATGAGTTGACGGTGGGTGATGCTACATTGTGCAGCAACAATTATAAACCAGATAAATGTTTGGGTCCTTTTGGAAGAAGAGTACCATAGTAGATGGATATGCAGTACAATAAATTGTTTTACTGCAGTAAAAATTCATGAATTACAAGAAAATGGAGGGAGAGTCTGTGTCTGTTTGAGCTTGGTGCCAGCCGCCCTACATCATAGTGAGAGTTTAAACGAGTAGGAAAGAGAAACTTGTTCACATTTTCATTGTGGTGAACTTCATCTTTTTCTTTTCTCTCATCAGGTCGAAAAGAAGACAGAATTAATTGAGAAGATGGAAACCGAAAATTCTTCTTTAACTCAGCAGCTGAATGAAAAATCATCCACATTGGAAAGATTCCAAACAGAGATTCTCAAAATATCAACTGATCTGGAGAAGAGAAGGAAGGAGGTATTAATTATATTTTAGATTAGTTTTTAATATACAGCAGAATCAACCATATATTTATTTATTTATATATATATATATATATATATATATATATATATATATATATATATATATACAGAGAGAGAGAGAGAGAGAGAGAGTTCAGTTATGGCACTTCTTTTATATAGACTAACCAAGTTTGCAATCTTGATTCTGTTACAGGTGGCTGAGCAGAGAATGACAATTAGGACCTTGCAGGAGGCATTGGTGTCCAGTAAAAGACAGTGTGATGAACTACACTCCCGCCTGGACAATGATGTGAGTGCTGGCATGTTGCACCATAGCCTTCCCCCACAGGTGTATGATAGTAGCAATAACCCTCTTGCCAGCAACCCCAGTGTGACTAAAAGCATCCTTGTGGACAATTCAAGTCTACAATCTCAAAGTGAATTGACAAGTGCATGTATGGATAACACTAGTTCTGTTAATTCTGTTGTTTCCACCCTTCCTATGAGTACCAACAGCTGTATGCCAGGGGCTCCACTGAATGGGAACTCCAGTCCACATCCTAGATCCTGGCAACATAGTGCTTTGCAGCCTTTAGACAGATATAATTGTGACACAGAAAATATGGTACCTGATATCAGACCCACTTATCAATGTGCTAAGGAGGTTTTGGGTCAGAATGCCTCATGTGCCATAACTCCAGATGTGTTGTCATCTTGCAGTGGTAACTCATTTTTAATGAACTCATCACAACAAAGCAATCAGAGTCCATGCAGTATGCCCAGTGAACCCCCAAAAACTGTTAATGGACAAAATATTTGGGATAACAAGAGTGACACAGATAGTAAGATTAATGTAGATCATACTCCTACTGGTCAGGTGTATGATGTATAGGGATGCCTTGTAATCAACATAAGCCTCAGGTTATACAGTAATGGTTGTATCCTTTCAGTCAGAAAAGTCATAGGTTGGAAACACTACTGATTGCATATTTTTACAAGCCTTGGTATGAAAAAAAAATATAGAGAAATTTCAAGTAATTCAAGTACTTAAGTTGGGGTTTAGTCCATATAGAAACCAATATATGATGCTACAAATTGGTTGTGATAATAGGGCTCATTTGTTTGAGCAATGTAGTTATAGTTCTACTTAAATTACAGAGATATTTATGTGTGCCAACATGGAGTACCTTGTGTTGCAATATTGTCTTTTTGCTTCTAGTCATAACATGCTATAATATTGTTGACTTCCATATGGCCTTAGATCTGTGTGGCTGAATTGCTTACATGAAGAAATACACTCTGTAACGTATAATCTTTCTTAATGAAGTACAGTAGAACCTCCATAAATAAAGAGTAAAAGTCAGCAGGACTTATTTGATAGAACTTATTCACATTCCTTGCTCGTTTTTCATTCACTGTAAAAATTCTTTGTATTTACTTCATTCCAGATTGTATAGATATTTGTGAAAACAAATTTTTCAGTTCAACAGATCCAGATATCTGTAATTACTTTACAGTCAGTTCTGCTATAACGCGATAGTTGTGTTCTTGTAAAACATCGTGTTATAGAAATTCACGTAATAGAAATAACAGGGCTTATGAAGAAAATAGGGTTAGGTGCAGATTACTACTCGAAATCGAAAAAATTTTAGTAGCCTAATACAAAGGTTAGCACATTCTAAATAAATGTTACATTCATATCTAATAATGAAATCATACAGTAAATGTAACTCTTTACCGTGAAGAAATATGAATATAACGATGGGGGAGAAGGGTGATTTTGAGGTTGATAACATCGAGCTTCTCTTCAAGTGTTATAGCCTTTCTTTTACGATCATCGCCGGGAATGCGATCAACAGAACGCTTCTTGGAGATATTCTTCTTTACCATATTCACAGTTAATACCACAAAATTGGAGAAATAGTAAGCAAAAATCGCGTTACAGCAAACAAACGTTCGCGTTATACAAATATCGTTCCTCTATTCATAAATCGCGTTAGAGCCAATTCGCGTTGTCAAAACACTCGTTATAGCAGAACTCACTGTACAGTATTTGTAAATGACTATACAGTAATGCTAATTTCTTTAGACTATGACCTTCTTTACTGCAAGCCGAAACTGTATGACTGCACTGCTAGATTCAGTGGTTGGTATGCATGTACAGTACCACAGTTTTAATTTGCAGGAAAAAGGGTTAGAAACTTTGTACTGTACAAGTATTTTTATTCTTATGATTGATTGACAAAATGATTAATAATCTTGAGATACGTTAATCCCTCTGTAATTCAGAAAACTATGGTATCAAGTCTGTCCAATTTGGGGAGGGATTCCAACTTTGTTAATATTTTTTAATACAAATATTTTGAAGAAAATTGATTCCAAGTTAAATACATCACTGAAAGGACATTTTAAAGCAATAAATGTACCAACTCTAACAACTGGTTATAAACATTGAAAATACTGTGTTGTGTGTTTTTTCACTACAACAAACAACTCTGTGTAAATACAATAAATAAATCAAATGTATTGCACAAAATGAAAGAACAATTTAAGATAGGTTTTTACACAATTTAACATAAGAGTGCAATGCTGTATGGGATTCAAACTGCTATAGACAGGAGCCTCTTATGCAGGCACACACATACAAGTACAGTATTTATCACTGTAAAAGGCTGCCAATTCACGTGCATAAATCATATCGTAAAACAATTGTATTAATGCACTGACAATATTTTGCAAATACAGTATGAGAAAATATGATTAGTACACTACAAGTATAGTGTACTGTATTGTTGACTGCTAAATTTGACACTGAAACTACTTGAGACTTTAGAGCTATATTTTGGAACCACCAAAATTTTTTGGATTTGGTGAAAATGAATTACGGAGGGATGACTGTATTTTTAAATTATTAATACAAAAAGCTGTACTGTATTCTCGATGAGGTTCTATTGTAGTTAGAGTACAGTATACTGTGTTTTTAATAAAATTAATAAGAGTTAATATTTCTAAATAGATTATCAGTAAGGCATAACTGATGAATCTGTTATTCCTGCGATCATTTTCAACCCAGCTGCATTAGTAAATTATTTCGTAACTTATGTATTTCTTATAAGTGAATTAGTGTTCAAATTCTTAGATTTTATTCAAATTTAGAAATTTAGTTTCTAATTGTGATAAGAGATTTAATGTATTGTATTACTATTTATTTTAAAATTTATTAGAATTATTATAATGTAATGGAAATTTTTATTTATTTTAAAATGTAATATAAATTTATGAATGAGGTAATGGAGAGTGAGTATATTTTTTTTGGCATTGACAAGAATAATAATATTAAATAATAATAATCCAGTAATAAATGAGAACTGCAAGATCATTTCTGTATCCTTTTCATCAATCAATATGTATGAAAACCATTGATGATAATTGAAGGTAGAGTCTGTTTGCACAGACCTCCAGCCACCCTACATAATAGTGGGAAAAACTTTTGAGTGAAAAGTGCAATGAGAAAAAAATATATGGTATAATGTGTAAGTACAGTATTAACTTGGTATAATGTATAAGTATTAACTATCATTATTTGCTTATTTATTTTTCTTCCTTTCATAATATCAACCTAAGTGAACCTATTAAGTAATATTGCATGTGAATATGTTTTGCATTTCATAAATATTGTAAACAGTAATTTGAAATTGGCCTGATAAAGTATTACAATGCATACCTGTTGAAACCTCTGCCATGGATGATTATATTATAAAGTGAATGTAATTAGCTTGACAAGCAGTGCATTATTAATATATTGTATATATACTACCATTCAGATATACTTAATACAGTATAATGTGTGTTGTTATATGTTTACTAACCATTTTGGGTATATTTCAAACCAGTTGGTAACATTTCACCAAGGCATAATGAGATGAAAAGCAAGACAACTGAACATTATTTCAATAGACTTTTAAAAGGTGTATATTCAGTGCTTGTAAGTTGACAGATGTGAAATATTTAATATGGGAAGTTCTCTTTCACTTTTCTCATGCAAAAGATATGATTTAATCTCTTGCTAATATTTATTTTTCTTCTAGAAAGTCTTGATGCCCCATATTTAGCTGGGGTTGGAATGTGATTGACAGATGAGCTACTTGTCAATCACATTCCAACCCCAGCTAAATATGGTAAATTTGTAAATTATGAAAATATTTTGAAAAATTAAAGGATATTTCTACATAATGAATGCTTCTGTTGCACTTAGAACTATAATTCATAATGAGAGGATGATAATGATGCAAAGTGACCTTATCAGTTACTACACAGAGAATAATGACAATAAGTAATATACACAGCAATGAATGGGGGGGGGGAACCACGTGGAATCTTCCAAACTTTTCAGCTAACATCTTCGAGAGAACTATTGTAAAACACACCTTAAGCATTATGAAGTACTGTACTGTAATTGACATGCTGGTTGATTATAATGTACAGGTATATAAAATATTATGATCAATAGTTATTACATTTCAATACTGTAGTAGTAGATGCATTAATTTGCTTGTTTCACTAAGTTTTTTCTTATTAGAATGGATAATTTTGTCTACAGTTTGTAAAATTTACCCAGTACTGTAACCTATCCTAGATTTAGTGGGTTTGAATAGGAGCTTAAAGTCTCGCAAGAAGCCGGAAAATTAAAATAAATTTGTGATTATCAAAGATTACGGTTTGAAATGTGCCCAAATTAGAAACTGCTAATGACCAATCTTAATTATCTCTATGCCATGGATTTCTGCAACTCAGGGATTTGAACTCTCTGCTGACATATATAAGCTGCAGTATGAGGTAAGTACTAAGTAGCCCAATATTTCAATTCTGAAGTACAGGTAGCCTTTACCAACTTCTCCCAGTAAGAGACCCTATAGGCCATCTTGCACTTTCCTTATCAGAACACCTCCATGATACTTGTGTACCTCCACTTTGCCCACATAACCTTTACCTATGATTTATATTAACACCCACTCAGTATTCTCGGTATGTAATAATAATAATAAAGAACCATAAAGAAATAAAAAAATAAAATAAAAAAAGATCAATTGTGAGAAACAATATATATGTTGTGTTGTCAGTAAGAGAAACAATTGAGACCCTGCAATTGTGTGTAAATGAGGCAGAAAGTCAGATCAGCAACCTGGGACTTGGTCACAATTTTTGTGATGCCATATGGCAGCAGGATCTAACCATTAGACATATTATGCTTCCAATATCTTCCCAGGCGGTAGTTCCCTGTTTGGTAGCTGCCTACTACCTACCCTGTATTGTTGTCTACCCCATCAAGATTATACGAGGAAGTCCAACCTTCCTGTATTCAAATATGACCCTGTAAGTCTGGAGCATGGCAGTAATACAGCATGGACAATATACTGTATTTACCATGACTGCCAAGGCATTTGATATTGTACCTCATTAAAGCCCGAAAATTAAATAAAAACTGATATGGAACACTTTGCCATATACATGTGCTGTATATCCATGACAAGCAGTGTACCACAAGAAAGCATGCTATGAATGATGCTTGTCTTTCATAAATGACATGCCAGATGCTATTCACTCTTCTGTGCCAATGTTTGCTGATGATGCTAATTTATGAAATCTTACAGGATGATCTCAATCCACTTAGCCCATAGTCACAAGACTGAATGCTGAAATTCATTGTTTCAAAATACATGAGGATATACCTTGGTTGTATTACATGTAATTTGAAGGAAAACACCACACACCCCAACATCATGAAGACATTTCCCAAACAAACTACTGTAGATGTGAAGAAAGATGTTTAAACTGACATTAACTGAATTTCAAACATCAAAGGAAATATGAGATACAGCATGTCTAATTAATTAATATTAAAATATATTACATTTCAAAATTAATTATAAAAACTGTTAACACGAATCACAACTTCATAACCTGAAGCAACATGCTCAGAAGTACACCTTTTGAGTAATTTTGAGCTGAAACAACAATTGCCTGAAAAAATCAGTTATTCCCTTCGTGTATTCTCGGTCAATAAAATACAGTATTTGTCTCAGAATTGCAATATTACTGTTCATAATAAACCGGTTGAAGAATTCCAGTAAAACTAAACTTTCTGGTTAAAAACAAAAATCCAACAGCATTTGATAAGGAACAAAATACTTCATACAATCAAATAGCATGTCCATACAGGGAATTAGGCCTAATGAGCGTAAAAAAGTAATTATTGTAAGACTACTATACTTATTGCAAATACCTGTACAACTTTTTCCCTCGACCCTCATAATTTTGTATTGATAACTGCAATAGTGTAATTAACCTAGTTATGTCCTTAAAGGCATAAGATGTTGAAGAGCAGTACAATAACATCATAATTATGATATATTGTAAACACCTTTTACTTAAAATTTGCTGAAAATCTTTGGAGTTAACGTCCAACATCAAAATACAAAAATTAGTACAGTTATCAGAGTCTTGTAGCGTGTAATTTCGGACGTTGTTATCACTGGACATCATTACTTTATTCCGTTACTTGAATACGTATAACAGTAACTATCATTTGAAACCATGAATATAATTGCAATAATACAGTAATAATGCTACGTTATTTTACTGTTTGTTCCCTTGCATATTGACCACATTTTAATTATAATCACAATAATGATAGCTGTTGTAGATTAAATAGTAGTAATAATAGTTGATAATGACTATGCCAAAATAATAATGGTAACACTGTTGTATACAATACAGTAAATAGTACAATAATAATCTCATAAAAATAATAATAGTGGCAACAGTAGTAATCAATACTATTATACAAGCACTGTGTACCAAGCAAGTGTCACAACACTAGTATGGACGCCCTACAGGTCAGCACCAAGGAGTCTGAGGCCGAACGTCTTGAACGAGATCTGGAGGAGGCACAGTCCCTACACCACCACACCTACACCCAGGTCTGTGTATGTGTGTGTCCTCCCATAATCTTGTCTTGAACCTTATCTGTTCAGTGGGCACCTGTAAACTCTCCAGTTTTGATTATTCATCCCCTAGTTTTGTTTTCTTAAAATTCCTTTAACTTGGGTCCAGTGGAGGATTTCCTTCACCCAATGTTAGTGTGTTCTTGTAATATGCCCTGTACACTGTCAGTTCAGTTTCCTTTCCTTTGCACTAACATCTCTGAGGCCAGTTTAAGATGTCGCCTGTTTGTTTATGTCTGTATGTTGTACCTAGCATGCATCTTTTCGTGCTTTTTGTTGTTATTTGTAGTCTGTGCATTATTTTTGCATTTAATACAAATATTTCGCATCCAAATCAACTGGTAGCGCGCACTTATGAAATACTTTGTCTATTAGACAAAGAAGCATTTTGCTTTTGATTTCACTTAACTTCCATAGCCATTGCTAATTAATATGTTGACTTTTAAATTTTGCCCTCTTTTAACGTCGTTAGCAACCTTCATAATGTGTGGGTGGTTGATTGGTTGCCGGTTAATAAGGTTCTTTCACTGAGCACCCTCCAACCAATCATCTATGAATGGTAAAGCTGCGTTTATACTGGGAGTTTCCTTCAACGTTTTAGGCTGGGCTGAGCATAGGCCTATACTCAGTCCAACCACAAACGTAGTCTGGCTGCAGAAAAGTCCAAGGGTAGCGACCAGACGGCGCTCACCCCTCAAGTGAACCGTCTCCGTTCTGTCTTGCACACTTTGTGCTCACCAGTTGTCAAACGAGTATTTCAAGATTCAGTATAGCACTTAAAAATTATTTGAATTATGCACATGTTAATTGAATTTCATACATACTCACAATATTCCAGTACAATTAATGCCACTTATACTGTAGGTACAGTATAATACTATACGTCCAGTATATGATCTCATTTGACCCCAGAGTCAGGAAGGCGGGAGACACTAGTAGGTTTGTTTACGTTAATGGGCGGTGGTGATGAACTGATGGGTCTAACGTGAAAACTGGAGCCTCGCGGGAGGTTGAGGTTCGAGTAAAAATCGATTGTGGCTACGTTGAACATCCACTGTAAACGCAGCTAAAGTAAGGTGTGTATGTACTGTATACTGAAAGAATGTGTGAAGTATCTACAGTATATAGTGAATGTGTGTTCATGTTTGCTTACCTGTATTATATTTTCACTAAAGAGGATTGTGTATTATATTCATACATGTAGAGACTATAAAATTATTGTGGATGCAGTTTATATATTTGTGGGTATCAATGTTTGTGTATACCTGTACAGTATGTGGGTGTTTCTGAACTGGGTGGTTTAAAACAATATTATCGACGTTACCACCAGCATCAGAATACAGTATTGCAAAACACAAACGAATGCAAGTTTGTGTGAACACTGTAATTTAGGTGAACAAGTTGAAAGTATGGAAGATTTCACAATTTACAACTTGTATTAATTTGATTTATAAGAGATTTTATTCATACAACAGTATGTGTGTATATAAGAGTAGTTATGTGTGTATATAAGAGTAGTTATGTGTGTATATAAGAGTAGTTATGTGTGGATATAAGAGTAGTTATGTGTGGATATAAGAGTAGTTATGTGTGGATATAAGAGTAGTTATGTGTGGATATAAGAGTATAGTATAGTTATGTATACGTGTGTGTTTATAATACGCCGTGTCCATTAGCTGGTAGAAAGCGGAGCGCGCGGTGAGGTGCTACAGGAGGAGAATCGCGCCCTCTCTAGGCGTGTGGGAGCACTTCAGGAAGACCTCTCCCACGCCCACAAGCATGACACGCGCCAGACTCACTACTGGAAGACCCTGGCTGAGGAGGCTACCCAAAAACTGACACAGGCGAAGAAAGAGGTGAGTCACAGTGTTTACCATAGGCAACTCTCCGCTCGCGGTACGCAAAGCCCCCCCCTCTCAATTACGCCAGTTCAAGGGATCACAGCGCCTGGTATTCCTATCCATGCAACAACACGCTTAAGCTACCTGCCTGTGATGACGTTGTTCAATAGTAAGAGCATATTATCCACCACAACATGAGATAAATATTTTGGTGGAATCGCAGAAAAAGATAGCGTCTCTCTAACTGAGAGGTCACACCGAGTGAAATGCTGTTTACGTGTTACATTTTTAAATAAATAACTTAAGTATTTCACATGTATATGTATCTGTTGTATTTACTTGTCTCCAACGTTTGTGTGGTGTGGATCAAAGCGTATGGAAACTTTGAAAAAAGGGAGATAATAGAAAGACTCGAGAGTACTGTAAGACAAATGAAGAAAGTGAAATAGAAGTACCATGACAAGAGTATAAAACCGCGTTTACTACTTATTTTCAGAAATAAATTATTGACAATTATTGACGGCATTTTAAGATAACGATATTCAAAATAAAACCTGTAGTGAACATCTGCTTCCCAGGACGAACTTTTGCCCTCCAGATACCTTCAGGGTTATGAAGTAAATTTTTAAAAGTGGACAACCACGGCTACTTGGCGGCAAAAATCCTGGTCAAATTCCTCCTCATCACAACAAAAAAACATCGGAAAAACACATTGCTCAATAACCAAAAAGCACAAAAATTAACCTAACCAAAGAAACCCATCCAGAAAAATTTCATGGGGCTTGTTGATTGTCTACTTCTAAAAAAAATGCCGGTTATGAATACTAGAAGCGTTCCTTGGTAATGGAAACAAGAATGTGATGTAAATGAGCAATAAAGCTCGGAGGGGGGGGGGGTTACTACCAGTTTAAATGTATTATGAACGAGCATTGTGCACTAAAAACTGAGAGAGCTGTCCTCACATAGTAATCTAATAGATGAAATAGATTACATGGTCATATATACAGGGAAAAATATAGGAATCTGGATTTGTAGGCAATAGGCATCCATTTGAAACTGAACACCTCGAAGTAGAGCAGTACTCACCCCTACTGACTCCTGAGCGAACTAATATACCCCTTCAGCATAAAACTTTCCACTGAGGGGCCCCAACTTTACCCTCCCCAGCATCTGTACATGAAAACGCGGTCAGGTAGCCGGGAGAACGTTCAACTGGCGTGTCTCCATAGGGCAGCGCTATTAATAGATGGTTCATAAATGGCGCTAGTGATCGGTTATACTAGCGCTGTGGTAAGTACAGTAAACTTTCTTCTCGTGTTACACCGCCTCTCATGTACGTTCGGTGGCTGATCAAATTAGTCACAGACCTAACCTAATCAAAACTATTGCTGGGGCGCTGTCCTAATAGGCTTTAATTGTATGGTTGGGTTAGGTAAAATTAGGTTGCATAGGTTAGCTAGATAAAGTTAGGTTAGACTAAGTCAGATTAGGTTAGGTATAGTTAAATTAGGCAGTATTATGTTAAGCTATTTAAAGTAAAAGTATAGATTAGCTTAGTTTATGTCCAGAAAAGATTAAATTAAGCTAGATTTGGTTAGGTAAGATTATTAGATTCGGTTTGAATTGATTAGATTACGTTTGATTTTATTCGATTTGGTTACATTAAGTTAGATAGGTCAGGTTAAAGAAAGCTGGATCAGGTTGGGATTAGATTTTTTTTAGATTGCCCCCGAGGGGGCTAGTTTATTGGGCACTCTCTTACATCCTGTGCAAGGTGAAGCGCAGAAGCGTTTACAGCGTCCATCTGGGAATCATGCTAGTTCATGCTTGCCTTTATGACTCGTGCATTAAGGGCGTAAAAGCCTGAAGGGTCATGGGTTTTGTCAGCAAGTTACATAAAGTGACAGAATGATGAGTGTGTGTGTGTGTGTGGGGGAAATTTCCGGTACAATTTATCTGTTTATGGCAAAATGTGGCAGGTCCCTAATAATGTCAAGTGCCAGGCCTGTCTCAAGGAGGAGGGATATCTGGTCAGGGAGGGAAGAGGTGTTGGTAACGGCTGGGGACCTGTAGGAGAAGGTCATAGGGCAAGTGAGGATGTAGTGAGAAAGGGTGTGAGAGGCGGGTTGACCACAAAGTTTACAAACAGTGCGGCCAGGCTCAGGGTTGCCAATGTACTAGGCGTGGCGAAGTACAGTGGGGGTGGAGGTCATATGGTGTGGTGAGACAGGTACAGTAGGGGTGGGGGGAGGCACATAGGCATTGACAATATTGGGGGACACACCTTTTAGCGTGGTTGTGATGGCGTGTGCGTCGACATGCCGGTGGGGTACGGGTAGCCAGGAGTGGTGTCCTCAGGTCCAATAGGTAGCCCTGGTGGAGACAGCACAGACAGGAGCGGACGCCGCTCGCGTGGGTGGACAGGTTGAGGCACCACATGTGAAGATGAGGCAGGGCTTGGCTCGGGGCCAGCAGGACACACCAGGGCAGGCCCGGTAGGCGCTACACCAGTAGTCAAGGCCGCCGGCGGTGGAGTAGGCCGTGAGCAGGGGGGGCTACCAGCTTGTGTCAAACCAGAAGAGAGGAGTGACTGGGTGGCAACAGAGGGCAAGAGTAGGTCGGAGATGGTGGGACAGAGTGTAGCGAAGAGTTTTTCAATACGGTTGGTAAATTCTTGGAAGAGGGATATGATCTGTGTCATGTCACCGGAGGGGGGTTGTGGGGGGACACCGGTGGGAGCACAAGGCCTGACAGCGCCAGAGTAGATATGGGGAGGAGGCCCAGTAATAGTTGAGTTAGGAGATGGCCGGGAGTGCTGTGTTGCAGCCAGGTGAGGCTGTGTTTCATAGACCTCAGGAGTGTGACACTTGATAAAGTTCCGGTTCTTACCTTGTCGGAATTGAATGTTGAGACCGTGTTGTCTGCAGTACTTCATCATCCAATTAAACCGATCCTTGACGGTTTTCAGTGAGTCCTTGGGGAAGTGCAGATATAGTTTACTTCGCTGGTTGGCAGAGGGCTGGGTGATAGGGTCCGTGGCATTGGTGTTTCCACTCCGGCTAGTGTTTCCCATAGAAACATTACCGTCACTGTCATAATCACTGGGGTTTGACTCTTGAAGGGTGTTGAATTCAGTATGACCAGGCGAGTTGGCGATGGCATCCGTATCGGAGATGTCTGCATCCATGAGAGAGCCTCTTCTGGGACGTTTATGTCGACCCCCCATGCTGGCAAACACTTGCTGGCTGAGGGGACCTTTGTGGGATGATCGGGAAGTTAAGAGCACCTATGGGCACGTCTGTCCCCTAATGTGGTCACGCCACGACTGTGATCAGGTTGGGAGTCTTGGAGCAGAGGACCCCCTAAATGACCTGTGACCTTTAACTCCCCTTTCCGCCACGGGAGAAAAAGGAAGGGGGGTTCACCCATCGAGTGTTAAGACTGACTTATTCTCGTGTTGATGCCCGACAGAACGAGACGGTCAGCAGGGAGAAGGAGCAGCTGCTACGTCAGGCACAGGAAGCGGAGAGGAGGAGGCAGGAGGTACTAAACTCTTTACACCTGCTCCAGGGACAGGTAGGTCTTGGGGTAGAAGGGGAGGGGGGAAGAGGGAGGGTGATAGATACTGTAGATAGATAGATATAATAAGTGAATGGAAAGACAAATATGCACATTGATTCATAATGTATATACTGTAGAGGGAAAATACTACCAAGTAAAATTAATACAGAGCGGATATACAAACTATGGTAAAACGTACACGTGTGTATATTGATTCAACCGACCAAGGGTAGGCCAACAAAGCCATCAGATATTTTATTTCTATTAAGATCCTTTACTTAAACCTTTGAGAGTCTTGAAGGGTTAAATCACCGTCGTCAAAAGGTTAAACCACCGTCGCTAAAGGGCTAAACCACCGTCGTCAAAGGGTTAAATCACCGTCGTCAAAGGGTTAAATCACCGTCGTCAAAGGGTTAAATCACCGTCGTCAAAAGGTTAAACCACCGTCGTCAAAAGGTTAAACCACCGTCGTCAAAGGGTTATATCACCGTCGTCAAAAGGTTAAATCACCGTCGTCAAAGGGTTAAACCACCGTCGTCAAAAGGTTAAACCACCGTCGTCAAAGGGTTAAACCACCGTCGTGAAAGGGTTAAACCACCGATCAGTAAACACAGGAACTCACTCTGTTTTGGCTGTGGCTTCATCAGTTTTGTATTTATGATTTATTTTTTATTTTTTTTGCTGTTTGATGTTATTACTGCTGGATTTATTGTGGTTAGTTAAATTTTTCCAGTTTTTTATAGAAGGTAAGAAGGGAGGGGGTAGAAGGAAGGAATGGAGAGGGTAGAAGGATGGAGGGAGATGGTAGAAGAAAAAGAGGAAGAAAGAGAGAAGGGGGTGTAAGAATAAAAGGTCAGGAAAGAGGAAAGAAGTAAAAGGGTTAAAGGATAGGGAAAAAAAGGAATGGAAGGAAAGAGAACGAAGGAGAATGAGAGAAAAGACGACAAGATGAGGAACCATTGAATGAATAAAAAAATTCTCCATCTAAAAAAAAGAGAGAAAGAGTATTAATCATTTTACTGAAGACATAGCATGAAATTTGTGGGTGAATGATTGACATGAGTGACGGAAGTAGCGTTTAGGCCCGACAGGTGAAGGTGAATAGGAAAAAGAAATGTATTTGGTGTTGGTGGAGGGAAGGAGGAAGGGGATGGGTGATAAATGCTGGTGTGCAGGGGTGGGCGGAGGGAAGGGGTGCTATGGCAATTAACACCCGTATGGTCTTAATATTTCTATTTCTTACAATTATTTTTAGTCTTGTTGGTTTATTCCTTCTTTATCCCTTCTATGTGCATTGTTTTTTATCCTCGTCTCTATTTTTTTTCATGTCTATCTTGTTTCTCTGCTGAAGGAGACAGAGAGACAAGGAAAGAGAGAGAGAGAGAGAGAGAGAGAGAGAGAGAGAGAGAGAGAGAGAGAGAGAGAGAGAGAGTCCAGCAACACAACACCTTACTTTTTACATAAGTTTCTAAACAAAAAAATAACTTCATAAGCGAGAGATGACTTCGTGTGTGTGACCTGATCTGACCTCACAGGTACAGACTCTGGAGGAGGAGGTCACAGCAGCGGCGGAGGCGAGGGCGGAGGCGGAAAGGCGGGCAGAAGACATACAGAGGAACAACTTGCAGTTACAGGAACATCTCTCTGTCCATGAGGTGTGTGAAGGAGATGGTGGTGGTGTTGAGGAGGAGGAAGAGGTGTGTAGAGGAGGAGGAGGAGGATGAGGAAGAAGTGGTGTAAGCAGGAGGAGGGAGAGGGGGAAGAAGAGGTGTGTGTAGGAGGAGGAGGATGAGGAAGAAGTGGTGTGAGGAGGAAGAAGATGAGGAAGGTGGTGTAAGCAGGAGGAGGAGGAAGAGGTGTGTAGAGGAGGAGGAGGAGGATGAGGAAGAAGTGGTGTAAGCGGGAGGAGGGAGAGGAGGAAGAAGAGGTGTGTGTAGGAGAGGAGGAGGAGGATGAGGAAGAAGTGGTGTAAGCAGAAGGAGGGAGAGGAGGAAGAAGAGGTGTGTGGAGGAGGAGGCGTCACTGCAGTAGTAATAATTTATTATGTTACCAATATGTAGACACACCTGTAACACACCTTTAGCACCTTTGTATCACCTGTAACACGTCTTTAGCACCTTTATCACCTGTAACACACCTTTAGGACCTTTATCACCTGTAATACGTCTTTAGCACCTTTATCACCTGTATCACGTCTTTAGCGCCTTTATCACCTGTATCACGTCTTTAGCACCTTTATCACCTGTAACACACCTTTAGCACCTTTATCACCTGTAACACGTCTTTAGCACCTTTATCACCTGTATCACGTCTTTAGCACCTTTATCACCTGTAACACACCTTTAGACCTTTATCACCTGTAATACGTCTTTAGCACCTTTATCACCTGTATCACGTCTTTAGCACCTTTATCACCTGTAACACGTCCTTAGCACCTTTATCACCTGTATCACGTCTTTAGCACCTTTATCACCTGTAACACACCTTTAGCACCTTTATCACCTGTAACACGTCTTTAGCACCTTTATCACCTGTATCACGTCTTTAGCACCTTTATCACCTGTAACACACCTTTAGGACCTTTATCACCTGTAATACGTCTTTAGCACCTTTATCACCTGTATCACGTCTTTAGCACCTTTATCACCTGTAACACACCTTTAGCACCTTTATCACCTGTAACACGTCTTTAGCACCTTTATCACCTGTAACACGTCTTTAGCACCTTTATCACCTGTAACACACCTTTAGGACCTTTATCACCTGTAATACGTCTTTAGCACCTTTATCACCTGTATCACGTCTTTAGCGCCTTTATCACCTGTATCACGTCTTTAGCACCTTTATCACCTGTAACACACCTTTAGCACCTTTATCACCTGTAATACGTCTTTAGCACCTTTATCACCTGTATCACGTCTTTAGCACCTTTATCACCTGTAACACGTCTTTAGCACCTTTATCACCTGTATCACGTCTTTAGCACCTTTATCACCTGTATCACGTCTTTAGCACCTTTATCACCTGTATCACGTCTTTAGCACATTTGAAACGCCTTTAATACTTGTTTAACATTGTAACATTTTGGCACTTTTGCAACACCCCTTTAACATACCTGCAGCACATATAAATATCTAGTTAACACCTTTGTAACTTCTGTAACTCCTTTATCACCACTTTAACTCATTGGAAACACCTGTATTACCATCCTTTTAACACATTCATAGTATCTATAACACCGAAACATTTGAAACCCTCTTTAACCACATTCGTAACACTTGCCGTAACACACATGTAACACCAGTAACACGTCTGTAACACCTGCAGACGAACAAGTGTGTGGAGAAATCATTTATATCCCTAACAAACCCCACACACAGTGGTCACGTCTTTGAAACTCCTGTGCAATACCTCTAACACCTGTGCAATACCTTCATACACAAAAAACACCATTTTAACACCTGCAGACGAGCGAGAGTGTGGAGAGACTGGGTCAACAGCTAGAGGAAGCGGTGGCAGCCCTGACAGCGGCGAGGGAAGAGGCAAGGAATAAGGGCGAGCTACTCCGTCGGGCACAGCAGGACGTGGATCAGCTGTCCGACGCCCTGGGCTACGAGAAAGACCTCAACACAACTTTACACGACCAGGTGATTATTTGTGTGTGTGTGGTTGTTAGTGAGCTGTGGTGGTTATTGTGAGATTATAATGAGCTATGGTGGTTATTGTGAGGATATAGTGAGCTGTGGTGTGGTTGTAGTGAGCCGTGGTGTGGTTATAGTGAGCTGTGGTTGTTATTGTGTGGTTGTAGTGAGTTGTGGTGGTTATTGTGTGGTTGTAGTGAGCTGTGGTGGTTATTGTGAAGTTATAGTGAACTGTGGTGATGGTTGTGTGGTTGTAGTGTTGAACTGTAATAGTACTAGTGAGGTTGTACGGAGTTGTGGTGGTGGTTGTGTGGTAGTTTTGAAATATGGTTGAGAGAGAGGGGGGGGGAGCAAGCAGACACTCTTAACCAACGGGTAGATTCAACTTACTCGTTGCACCGTTTTCAATATTAACGTTAAATTGACCAGTAATATCCCTTACATGTCTTACACGGATTTGCAACATGTTTATACAATGCTTAGACAATGAAGACATCTTAAAAGGGTTAAACCACCATCATCAGAGAGTTAAACCATCGTAATTAACAATTTTTATAAACCATCGTAGTCAGTTAAAACATACATGTTTGCTTCATATACTTAAAAATAAGGCTGGTGATGTCTGTAAACGCCTTCTGAGCGTTTAAAGGTTAATCAGACTTCACGTTAAACTCAACGTTATATTTCGGTAAAACCTGTTGAATACAATTCATTTTAGTATTTCAAATAAATCATACATCGACAATCATACATAAATGTTTAATCCAATATATATTCACATAACAATCATAGCTATGTAATTAGTTTAATCTTAACACTTATAATGAGTACTTAATTTGCCATATTTCTATGTTGTCACAATGATAACCAATGCAATGGACATAGTCTACCTATGTAAACTTAAGTACAAGTTAAACTTACGTGTTGAAAGCCTCAAGAGAAACAGGTTAGGTATTGACTCTACTGTATGATGGGGATCGCTACAGTGGCAGTGCCCTGCCCGGCGTCACATGCCCAGCCCTGGCTGGCCGACTTTGCTGCGTCAGGCGTTTATACGAAAACAAGCTCCCCTTACTACCACCCAACACCCCAACCTCCTCTGGGTCTCTCCATCTCCACCATCTCAACACTCTATATACTGTATACGGGCAGGCACACCCAATAAACATGACATGACTTGCAGCCTAACATAATGTTTGTTTATGTGTCATCCTACTCATTACTGCTTGCGGTAACAATGTCTGTAGGTGGAAGTGCTCATGAAGGAGGCGACGATGCAGGAGAACAAAGGTGGAGAGCTACAGCAAGAGATGAGGAGACTAACACGTGATGCACTACAGAAGGATAGACAGGTATAGTACACTCCCTATTACCGTGTTAGGTTAAGATAGGTTAGGTTGGGTTGGGTTGGGTTAAGGTTGTGTCAGGAATTAGGTTTAAGTAAGTGTTATTATACAAAGTCGAAGGTTAAAATCACAGCACAAAGTCGAAAGTCATTCACAGCCCCCCAAAAATCATAGATAGAATCACAGCAAAAAAGTTTATGCCACAGTAAGAAACTAAAGTATGAAATCACAGCCAAAAAAAAAGAAATACATAATCATTGTGTCAGGCGTCCTAGCTGACCAACACTCCCTCACAACCCACCACCCTCTTCCTTCATTCCCTGCAGGTGGCAACACTACAGTCACAGCTGGAGGGGTTGAGGTGCCAGGTGACGACGATGGAGGAACTGCTAGACGAAGAACAGCGTGAGGTGGCTTCCCTGACCGACTCCCTTACCCAGGAGAACAAAATCCTTCAGGAGGTCAGGATCAAGTGTGATAGAGTAAGTACTGTACACTGGTTGTTGCATATCCATTGTGGGATCCATTAGAACTGAGACTATTTTCCGCCTTGTTACTTGCAGTAAAAAAAGAAAAAAAAAGCCCATTGAGAATGTTCGTCTTATAATTCCTTCTCTCTCCCTCTCTCTCTCTCGTAATATTCATAAAAATATATAGTTTGTATATCGGGTAATGATAATAGAACAGATAAACAAAAACAATACAAATATAAATATACTGGATGAACTTAACCAAGCATAATAATAATTTAACCAACATATCTCTTGTACATTTTAAGTTGGTAAAACACGAGTCGTATTTTCAGTTTTAACTTCGCTATTGTTCAAAGTCATACAAGGACGCATTTGTGGAGGTGTCTGGTACGTGCGTATATAATAAGTCACAGATTAAATCCCCGTAACAATAATCGGCAATCAAAGTAAACCATTTAAAAGATAACGAAAAGTGTGCATGCCTTAATTATCTTGAAACACCTGCACTGCTCAAGGTTTTGTCTACACGCACGCACAAGGGCAAGGCGAGGTAATAACAATAATTCTTCGTAATACTCCTCGTAAACCCACTAGGTATGACGATCTTATTTGAGGAATTTGAAGAACGTGTGAGAGGAAAACACCCGGGTCATTGTGGTGGAGATAACACCTTTATAACTGTGATATACGAGTAACTTAAACTGTCTTGCACATTGTTATATGCGACCCAGTAAGTGGTTTAATTAGCCAAATTCTCAGCAATAATCCTAGTGTATTATTATAATCATTATTACACAAACACACACACACAGACGGTCTAATAATAGAATAACAGCATACGTGAGCTTGAGAGACATTGTTGTTGTTGTTGTTTTATTTCTGAAAACCAACCCACTTCTCGTGTTTAAATACATAAATTATATACTAGTAAATAGGAGCTGTGTACCCCAGACGTCTCCCCGGGCTATATTGCAGTACAATTATTACCAAGATGAATCTTTTTATTCTTTAATTATCGCCCTTGGTTAGACAATTTCCTGAGTTACTATCACCAGGAAATTTTATATCTTCAGTTTCGGGAGAATTTTACATAACAGAAATTTCACAAGTCAATTTACCAAACAAATTAGTTGAAATTATAGGTCCTGCTGAATTAAAACTAGATTAAACATTGTGTAACTTCCCCATTATAATGATCAAGGGTATCAGCCAGTGTTGTACGTTGACGCCGTTAATTTAACGCCGTCAATGGACGGCGGCAACTTTTGTTAACGCTGACGCCATCAATTTTTGGGGCAGGTGACGCTACAGGTGACGCAGTCAACTTTTTACCCGAGCGGAGCGTCAAGCGTCAATTTGTTCGTCAAAAAAAAGGCCACTAACCAGCTGTCAGGGTTGGTGGAGAAGTCCGTGCACGAGACAGAGCAGCAGCATCAGTGAGGGAGACGACAAAGACCATGACGTGGAGGACGAATTGTTCCAAGCCCTGTAGACCCCCCCCCCCGCAGGAATGAAAAAGACAGTGACCTTTTCAAGCGTTTTCTGGGGGAGAAACCTTCGAAAAAAACTTTCGACAAGGACTCCTTCCCCAACAAGGCCATGAGGAAGTTGTTCATCAAATACAACACCCCCATCCCCTCTAGTGCTGCCGTGGAGCGCATGTTCCCCATGGGCAAGGACGTCTTGAGGCCCAAGCGCAGCAGAATGAGCGACAAGCATTTTGAGATGCTAGTATTCTTGTGGGGGAACAAATGAATAATTAAAATGATATAATATAAATCATAATAAATTATTAAAAATGAATGAATATTTTTTTATTTTGTATATGTTACTCCCATACACAGGAGAATACGCGTTTCGGGGCTGCATTTGTACGTCACTGAAAACTCGCTGACGCTAGGTGTTGACGACGACGGCATCAAATTTCTCGGCCGTTTACGCTGACGCTGGCAGCGCCACTTTTTTTCGTTGACACGTACAACACTGGTATCAGCTAATACTGGACTAGATGAAAATGTACCTCAATACACGTAATTGGATAGTTGAAATAGTGAGATTAATGAATTAGTCGTGTTAGGGGCGAAATTGACAGAATATATCAAAATGTACATGGAATCTGATGAAATATGTAACTCATGTGAGTGTAATCTTGTGGAAGTTCAGTACGATATTTAATTGTGCATTTCAGTCATCCCTATTACTTATCTAGTTTAGTTAATGTAAAGAGGTAATATGTATAATATATTGTAGCTCGTTTCTTCTCTTGACGCACCTGCAGGCCAGGAAGGAGGCGGCGCGGAGTGAGGAACAGATTGCAGCACTGAAACGTGAATTGCAGGAAACGCAAGACAAGATTTCTCGCCAGGATCGCCGCGCCAGAGAGATGGTAGGTGAAGGAGCTAACAGCAACACAGCAAACACCTTAGGTAAAACTCTTGATTGGTGCGTTAGGTGACCACCACAACAATTACAGCATAGAAGGTGGCTCATGATTGGTACAACAGCGGGGTTCAGCAATATGGTTTCAAAGTGGCTAAATAGTAGTATGGATGAGTAAATATTTTAGGTAACCATAGACTGTGCAGTTGTGGTTTTATTGACATTATGTACTGATAAAATTAAATGAAATCAAAAGAAAACAGTTTAAAGCTCTGTACATTGACCAGACTGGGCTGTGACGTTACAATACTTGGGATATTAGAAATTCACAAACATTACTGTTTCACGTGTTTGCACTGGTTCAGGAGAGTGAGCGGGAAGCGGAGGTGGCGGCGGTAGCTGAGAGGTTGACGGCGATGCACGAGGAGAGTGTGAGGAGGTTGGAGGATACGTTACTAAGCTATACTCGCATGCAGGCACACGAGGAATACCAGGTAAATCAACTATTAAATTTATTCATGTTAAAAAATGTTGACAATATGATTTTTATACTATTGTTAAATTGTATTAATTCTTGTTAAATTTTGTCTAACCAATGTTGGATTTTGCTGAACTGTTTTTAGGAAATACCATAATTAAACAGGTTCTAGACAGGATTGGAATTGTTCTATTTACGTTGACATTAAAGACCAAACAGAACGTGAGAGTATTGTGAAATGTGATGGATGAGAAAATACATTGTTTTGACCTACTTTTAACGACCACTAAGTAGCCTCATAACTTCATTATTTACGCTTCACGGTGAAATGTTGGTGGAGTTTTGGGCTGCCATCTTAAATAATATACGACCATTAAAGAAAACAACCTTGTATTTTTACTTTTGTTCTCAAAGCTTCAGTTAGGGACGAAAGCTAATGTGCAAACATCTGCAAATACAATATAATTTTGAGTCCGTCATAGCTTAAATGATCCAGATGCGTTCCCAAATGTTAGTGAGTCACTTAGCTTAAGGGAGACAGTCAGATGGATTATCACACCACAATTTACGGAGAAAAAATAACGTATGAACTTGTTAGAATCAGGACCTTAGGCTACGGGTGAAGTAAGCAACAGACCATTTGGCATGTTTGTTAACAGGTGGAGAGCCTGGAGGAGTCGGTCAAGGAGTTGGGAGCTCGTCTGGCGGACTCTGAGCTGCGGGTGAAGGAGACACAGAAGGAGAGAGACGCCCTGGGTCGCAGCCTGCAAGAGGAGCGATCACGCCGGGAACAAGATGCCCACGAGCACCAGCGGCAGATCCTCAGGCTGACTGAGGAGACCTCTTTGTTGAAGGTGAGGGGGAGGAAAGAGATAAATGAGGAGAGTGATTAAGGAAGGAGAGAAAGG